CATTTATTTTGTTTGATTCCCCATTCCTCGTCAATTTATATAAGTATATTTATTAGCTGGCGCCCTCTCAACTTGGTAAAGAACATCTTAATTTTTCAATCAGATCTCAAGAATTCGAATCCACGCCTTCGTTGTGACGTAGATAAAATTGATGTTGAGAAATATTTTTAATAAATTTTCATTTTTTAAAGTAAGTACGCCACAAAATTTCTTCGGGTTCGTGATTTGATGGACCCTTCTGTGTTCAATTTTGACGCCTTCCCGCCCTCATTATACGAATTTTGTCTACCTGTACTGTCTACACTATACGAAATCCCCATTTTTTTGCCCATTTTTAATCGTGACGCTTATTTGTTTTTGTAATATTCCAAAATAATCAACAGCGAAGAGAAACTTTTTCAGAAGTACGCCGACTCATTTTACTCGATGACTTTGCAAAAATGTGAAGCTTATTTATTTTAACCCCAGTTACAGCAACTGACATATTGATGGATCGTGGATGGAATTCTCAATTAATAGGTACCGTCCAGAGGTAATTATTTTTTGTTTTGAACTTATTCAAATCATTATCTCAAGTTAATATTGCTCACATAGAAATGTCAAGTGAGTTCTTTTGAAAATGATTTCTCCGGCACATCTGATTATTGATGAAATTATCTGTTTTAGTAGGGATGTTTTTATCGTGGAAATAGAAACCAAGGGAATAAACACTCAAATCGCCAAGTGACGACTGAAGTATGGTAAACTTATGGTGAGGTAAATCGAAGCACATTAGTCGTTGGGTTCACTTTTTTGAAAAGGCATCCACCGGCGATGAGAAACCAGCAAATCGGGAATAGCAGAGCATGTTTGGACTCATCAACATAACATCAAGTGGCCCCAAGCTGAGATCATCCACAGGGAGGGACACTGGTTTGAGAGGAAGTTCAAAGAAGCTGCATATATGTTGCCCAACGACGCATTCAGTCAAGCTAGCGTAGAGATACGCAACATATGGAAACCTGTTATCAAGCAAAAAACGGTCAACTCCCGCCAAATGGTCGACTCCCGCTAAACAGATGAAGCGGAGAGTGGGAAGAGGGGATAGGTGAAAGCGCTTGCATGATCGATAAATAGTTCTCTTTCGGAGGAATAGTCCAGTCATCACCCGAAGACGATTGTGGATACTAACAATCGAAACGTCGTGAAGTAACTAAAGTTTTTTATTTTTTTTATTTTTGCGTAGTTTTATTTTGATCCTTTTTGATTTCGTTTTCATTTTGTATCTTGATTATTTTGTTCTTTTTATTCTATTTTCATTTCACGTTTTATTGCATAATGAAAATCATAAAACATGGAGTACCGCAAGGTTCTGTTCTTGGACCTCTGTTGTTTATCATCTACATTAATGACCTATGTTTTCACATGAGGACGAAATGTCAAATTGTCCTATTTGCGGATGATACCTCTTTCATCAGTTCAAACAGCAACATTTCACATCTTCTTGATAATGCTGAAACCTTGATGACTAAAGCGGAAGCTTGGTTCTCTGCCAATAACCTTCGACTGAATGAAGGGAAGACACAAAACCTCATAATTTCCTGTAATAATCAGATCACGTTAGGTAAGCATTGTAAATTGCTAGGGGTTGTTTTAGATGATCGTTTAAACTGGACTCCTCATATAGATATATTGAGTAAGAGACTACCCAGTCTCTTATTTTTGCTTAGACAGCTCAGGTACTGCCTCAATTCGAGCATGTTAAAAAATGTTTATTTTGGATTATTTTCACATTACACTTATTTGACATAGTCGATTGTAAAGACAGGAAATATATTCCTGAACATCTTTCTAATCCAAATGAAATAAACAATCACTTTATTACTTCGGTCGCTCAAATTGCAACTGAACCTCCGGATACTCTTCTTAACTTCTACAAAACAACGCAATTTCAAAAAAATTTAACTTTCAAATTCCATCAAATCAATATGGATGATATTAACATGATAGTCAACTCCATAAAAACGAATGCTATCAGATTAGATAAGACATCTATCAAAATGTATGTATCTGTATCTTTTACTTAACTCCTGTTCTAACATATTTTGAAACTATGTAGTATCTTCCTGGAACTATGGAAACAATCTATTATTTTTCCTATAAAGAAAATTTCTATACCTTTGACACCAAATGATTTGAGGCCCAAAATATAGTACCAGCAATATCAAAAATTGTAGAAAAGGCAGCCTATAGTCAAATATACTCTTATGTATAATAAGATGATAATGAAAGGGTCACTCTTTTTTTGTCTCTCGATTACAGTAAGGCTTTTGACACCATGAATCACAATCTGATGTGCGCCAAACTTGTTATTAATTCATTTAAAAAAAAATAGAAAGCAATGTGTTGTGATAAAGGGTAGTCAGTCTGATAACATGAGTGTATGTCATGGAGCCCCGCAAGGTTCAATTCTCGCCTCACTACTCTTTATTACCTACACATTTGACTTCTCCAAGGTTCTTAAGTTATTCAACATACATATGCAGACGACACTAACTTATACTACTCCGATAAAGTAAATCAGCTTATTGATTACGAAACATCACTCAATAATGATATAAAAAATCTTGTTCAGATTTCGCAGCAACAGTGTCTAAACCTTAATCCTAGTAAATCATCTTTAATATTTTTTTGGAAAAGTCAAAGATCGTAGAAGGGTCACAGATAATATCGTTTTGTATATTGATGGACATTCTGTGAATTGACTGACAAAATAAAATGTTTAGGGCTTCATATAGACTACAACCTCAGATTTATTCATCAAGTCAATACTCTCATTCAAAGGTCGTACGGTACTCTGAAACATCTGTATTCAAACAGACATTATCTTAGTAGGTCTCTCAAAATTACCCTTTCAGACGTACTGATTCCATCTATGTTTAATTATTGCGATGTCATCTATGGCCCTTGTATCGATTCCATAATAATTTCTGCAAGAATTCAGAAAGTACAGAACGCCTGCATTAAACTAATATTCAGTTTGAATCACAGAGATCATGTGACCCCTTCCATCAATCAACCTAATTGGTTAAAAATGCAAAACAGAAGAGATTCGCATTTCGCCTGTTTCATTTACAAACTGATAAAAAAACAACAACCCACTCATTTGGTAAATAAACTCCTTCCCAGACATCAGATATATCCAAGAAACCTCAGATTCAACAATAATTTTGACAATCCGAATCATAACAGCACTATCTATGAACGATCCTTCACGTATCATGTTGTAACAATGTATAATTCGTTCAGCGAATCTTTGAAAAATGCATCACTACCGCTATTCAAAAGTAAACTTGAAACTGAATTGCTCAGTCAATAGTGATTCAATCATAAACATTTGTATTTCATTTTACTATTTTCCTGAAATTGCCATTTATTTTTTTTTAATGTTTCCTTTTTTCAAACGTGGTTGGGTGGAAGAATAGCGCTTTGCTAAACTCCGCCACGTAAAATAAAGACCTGTTATTATTAATTTTTTTATTTTTTTGATAAACAGTCGTATGAACTTCGTTATCAACGTTTTCTTGAATTCAAATAATTCAAGAGAACGTTGATGTCATCTGGGTTATCGTCCCAGATAGTAAATACATCACCAACATAACTCCAACAT